ACTGGATGGCTTGAAAAAGCATGTGAAAATATGCCAAACACCCTTAGTCATTAAAAAAAGGCAAATCAAAACCACAATGAGATACCACTTCACCTTTATTAGAATGGCTGTTAAAAACAACAATAACAATAATGGAATATAACAAGTGTTGACAAGGATGCAGAGAAACTGGAACCCTTGCACATTGCTGGTGGGAATGTAAAATGCTGCAGCCACTGCAGAAAACAGTATGATGGTTCCTCAAAAAGCTAAGCAGAATTACTATACAACTCAGCAATTTCACTTCTAGGTAGATAACCAAAAGTATTGAAAAATAGGACTTGAACAGATCTATGTTTACGGGCATCAATGTTTATTGGCTATTGCAGCACAATAGCCAAAAGGTGGAAACAAACCAAATATCCATCCACCAATGAATGGAGAAAGGGAATGAGGAATATTCATACGATGAGATATTACTTAGGTGTACAAAGGAATGAAAATATGGTACATCCCTCAACACGGATGAAACTTGAACACATTATACTAAATGATATAAGCCAAACACAAAGTGATAAATGTTGTACAATTTCACTTACACAAAATGCATAGATTAGGTAAATTTATGGAGACAGAAAGTAGATTAGAGATTACCATGTTCCTGGGAATGGGGAGTTATTGCTTAATGGGTACAGAGTTTCTGCCAGGGTGATGGAAGAGTTTTGGAAGACAGAAAGAGTTTCAAGACAGGGATGATGGTTGTACAGCAATGTGAATGTAATTAATGCCATTGAATTGTAAACTTAAAAATGATTAAAATGGAAAATTTTATATTATGTACATTTTAGTATAATTTTAAAAAACCTGGATGAGATGTCCATCCCTGTCTCCATGACTTCATTCACATAGCTTGCTGTAGCTGGGGCACATTTTTCTTGCACGTCTGCCTATTGAAATCTCATTCTGTTTTCAAGGCTTATCTCGAATAGAACCTCCTTCCTTGTTGACTTTTCGAACTTACTGTCTCCCTATGTGTTCTCAAACCAATGTGATCTTCCATTTGAGCTCTCAGACTATGTTCTATGTCTCTTTGGGGCCATTTCTTTGCCTTCATCACCTACTAAGCTGTAAGTTCTTTGAGTAGAGGGACCTTGTTTTATTCATCTTTGCATTATTCACCCAATAAATATTTACTGAGGCCATGCTATGTGGTAGCCTGGAATATAATGCCAGTACGCTGTAAAAAGTCAATGACTGTTCAATTAAGTTGCCATGTCATACATGGTCTGGACCTCAAATTTTCTGAAGACTTTCAGAGTATGTAACCTTAAGGAGGAGTCAGTGTCCTCCCTATTTAATAGTCTTGCTGGCTGTCATTCTTGGAAGTAGTGGACCATAGTAGGTAGTTTTTGCTTTCTTCTGGGAACAATACGTCATTCTTGATTTTTGGGAAATCAATTTATTTTTTTCTTCCTTGACTCCAACCCATGTGATTTGAGTGATCTGCCATGCTTTTACATTATCTTTCTCTCTTGGTTACTGTTCATTGGTTCAAGGTGAACACCTGATGCAAGCTGGACCTATCAGAGCTTTGCCCTAAAATTTTTGAAACCAGAGCACAGAGAAGAGCATGGGGAGTTGAGAGGCCCCATTGCCACCTGTGTTAGAAGCCAGCATGCAGCAGAATAGGATGTGGCTGATGCACAGAGAGAAGAAGAGAGAAGCAGAGAGAAAAAGCCACTGGTACCAGTTGTATCAAAGACCCATCTGCATCTTTGTTCATTTCAGAGCTTCATGTTTCAACACTTCATTGTACTTCTCGAGGCAACACATTCTCCTTTAGTCTAAGTTAGTTTGAGTTTAGACTCTGTCACTTGTAACCAAATTGCTGCACCTCTCTGAGCTTCAGTTTCTTCATTATAAAGTATTGATAATGACCTCTTCCTCCTATTAAAAAAATTTGATGCATATAAAGTGCTTATGTTGGTTCCTGGCACATTTACCTACCCAATAAATGTGAATGACAATTACTATTTGAATCAGCATACATAATGCCTGGAGATGATGTGAATGAGAACACAAGTCTATCAAATAAGAATAGATATGATTCTGATTTTTCTTTAAGCTCTGTCCAAGAGAGAAGGGCCATTTTATTTTTCATGACTTTAGTACCTCTTTGCTTTATGCCCTTGTAAGGCCTAGACATGCCTCCTCCTTTGATGACAAGGAGTTCTCACCACCATTAGCCAGTTCTCATTGCGGTGTCTCCACTCTGGGGGTCTGAGACACAGATGGGCTTGTTCCATACTCCGAGAGGAGCCTTGCCTCACTACGTTCCCATTTGGCTCCAGCTGATAGACATTCAGTACACAGTTCCAAGGCTTAATTGCATTCCACTTGTATGTTGCCAAACACTAAAACCTTGTTGTTGGAGTTAAGTGTTTTGGGAAATGTTCTGTAATAGTTCACCAACCGAGACTTCAAAAAGTTGGAATTACTGAATGAGCTGCCAGATCCAAACTTGATCTCCAATTGTCCCACCTGTGCTCACTGGAGAGGAACATGTTGAAACCTTCCCTGTGAGCTCCGTGAATTCATTTAAGAAATATTCTGTCCCTGCAGTGGCATTTAGTGGTACATCGTAGGCTTTCAATTGTGGATTAGCTGACGAGGGTGGCCAAGTATACATATTCAACAGGTTACAAGAAGAGTTATGAATATTTATGAAGGCAGTTATGATATGTACTGAACAAATGTTCATGTTACATATGACTTCACCTTGGGGTGGGGCTTGACGTTTGCATGTATTATAATTAGGTCTTACGTGTCAAAACGTATTTTTAGGAAGAAGGCACTCATATGCACAGCCTCTGTAAACTGGCCAGAATCAGTCCATGGCTGGTGGTCTTTTTATTAGAAGAAAGTTATTGAAATCAGTTTCTTGGCTAATCCAAGCTGTAGTTATGGCTGGTGGAACAGGAATGGTGTTGGGGAGATCAGTCAGTGTCTGGTGGTTGGTAAGTTGCAGTTGCTTTAACATTGCTTATCTCAAGACCCTGGTTTGTTTAGCTGCTAGAGAAAAAGAAAAACCTTGTGGCAATTAGAATACAGTTTATTCTTTTTTTTAAATTGCATTTTAGGTTTTGGGGTACATGTGAAGAACATGCAAGATTGTTGCATAGGTACACACATGGCAGTGTGATTTGCTGCCTTCCTTCCCCTCAGCTATATCTGTCATTTCTCCCCATGCTATCTCTCCCCACCTCCCCACCCCCCATCCCGCTCCCATTTCCCCCCAACGGACCCCAGTGTGTAGTGCTCCCCTCCCCGTGTCCATGTGTTCTCATTGTTCAACACCCGCCTATGAGTGAGAACATGCAGTGTTTGGTTTTCTGTTCTTGTGTCAGTTTGCTGAGAATGATGGTTTCCGGGTTCATCCATGTCCCTACAAAGGACACCAACTCATCGTTTTTGATGGCTGCATAATATTCCATGGTGTATGTGTACCACATTTTCCCTATCCAGTCTATCATCGATGGGCATTTGGGTTGGTTCCAGGTCTTTGCTATTGCAAACAGTGCTGCAATGAACATTCGTGTGCATGTGTCCTTATAATAGAACGATTTATAATCCTTTGGATATATACCAGTAATGGGATTGCTGGGTCAAATGGGATTTCTATTTTTAGGTCATTGAGGAATCGCCACACTGTCTTCCACAATGGTTGAACTAATTTACACTCCCATCAACAGTGTAAAAGTGTTCCTATTTCTCCACACCCTCTCCAGCATCTGTTGTCTCTAGATTTTTTAATGATCACCATTCTAACTGGTATGAGATGGTATCTCAATGCAGTTTTGATTTGCATTTCTCTAATGACCAGTGATGATGAGCATTTTTTCATATGTTTGTTGGCCTCCTGTATGTCTTCTTTTGTGAAGTGTCAGAATACAGTTTAGTCTTTAAGAGTAGGAGTGTGTGACTTAACTCTTTCCTGGCATGGCCTTAGGCCCTGTTTATAACTTGGTATCTTAGTGCTACAAATAATTCATTTTGTCAGTCTCGTGATCTCTATTTTAACATGAACGCTGGTCAGTTGTTTCTAAACTACACAAAAGAGGGGGTATAACAAGGTGTGTTGAACCTCCTGTTCTTGTCATGGCTGTGAACTCACTTAAGGTTTTTCTGGGGGTCTCTGTGGCCAAGAGGGGATCTGTTCTGTCAGTGGGGCAGGGGGCTTAAGACTTTATTTTTAGTTTACATAGCACATCTCAGTTTGGACTGGCCATGTGTCAAGGGCTCAATAGCCACATGTGGCTAATGACCACCATGTTGGATGGTGTAGCTCTAACCCATTCCTCACCCTGCAGACAGAGCAAACTTTCTAAAATGTAAATATCACCAGTTTTCTCAATAATTTAGAACATACCCCTTCATACCCCTGACTTCCTATTACTCTCAAGATAAATTCTTCAAGGCTCCTTGTCATTTATTTTCAACTCACCCCATAACTTCGCATATGGACCTTCCAGCCCTAACACACTTCTTTTTTTTCCCCCTAATATATAATTGTTTTTCAGGTCACCGTGACTTGGCACAGGCGGTTTTCTCCACTTGAAATGCCATTCCTGTTCTCTTGTTCTTCCCACTTCTTCACCTGGAAAACTCCTCTGTTCCCCTCAAATGCCTTCTCATTTATTATACACAATCTTCCAGAATTCCTCTGGGATGGGTTAGTTCAACCCTCCTGTGGATTCATAACGGAACATTGAACACAGCTTTTATCATATTTGTTGGTAGCTGCCTATGTGCTCACATCTCTCACAAGGTCAAACACTTCATCAGAGCACGGATCATGGCACATTTCCCTTTCTGCTCCCAGTACCTTCCTCTCTCAGTGCCTGTCAAATATTTGACACGTACCATTAGACCCAACTCCTTCCATTCATTTGTATTACTTGCCTGGTCTTGGTCGAAATGTAGATTTGGGACCGTTATAATCTAGCTCTCTGATTTTATAGATGGGGAAACTGAAGCCCTAGAAGAAAAGAAGACTCAATGTATTACCATCTGACCCACTTCCTGGCTAGCCCTGTTCATCTATCTGCTGTTCTTCATTGGTGAGTTTTCTGGAAATGTAAAATGTCATTAACTTGAAGAAGAGATGAGGAGGCCCGTTGGGCTACTTTATGCAGTCAGTGGTTCATGAAATCATAAGGTGTAAATAAAATGTTTGTAAATGAGACCTCCTGTCAGATGCCCTAGAGTTGCTAGATGTATAATGCAATCCCCTTACAAGTTCTGTTATAATGAGAAAAGAGTGTTGCATTTATTGTCTTTGTAAAATTTTATCCCCTTCCTCCCCTGTTGGAACTGCTTTACAAGTGAGATCCAGCTGCTATTTTAGCAAACTTGGATGGTGATGTTTCTGTGTCACCCCATGTAAAAATGGTTTGGGGTGGATGATCTGCTTTTTGATTCCCTGAAGCCTCAACTCTCCTTTTGATCATGGGGTAGGGTTGGGGGAGAAAGAGAGAGAGAGAGAGAGAGAGAGAGAGAGAGAGAGAGAGATTGATTCAGAATGTGATTAGAAAAACCAGTTTGTGGGGTGAACTAAAGAACACTGCAGAGTGGCCGGGCATGGTGGCTCACATCTGTAATCTCAACACCTTGGGAGGCCAAGGTGGGTGGATCACGAGGTCAGGAGTTAGAGACCAACTTGGCCAATATGGTGACACCCCGTCTCTACTAAAAATACAAAAATCAGCCAGGCATGGTGGCACGTACTTGTAGTGCCAGCTACTCAGGAGACTGAGGCAGAAGAATTGCTTGAACCCAGGAGGCAGAGTTTTCAGTGAGCTGAGATCATGCCACTGCACTCCAGCAGCCTGGGCAACAGAGTGAAGAGAGACTCTGTCTGGAAACAAACAAACAAAAAACAAAACAAAACAAAACAAACAAACAAAAAACACTGCGGAGTATTATTTCGTGTTCCTTAATTTAGGTACTTGGCCATTTGACTCCCATTAAACTGGGAGTTGTGTGCTTTTTTTTTAAAAAAAAACCTCTATGTAAAGTTAAGTTTTTTATGCACAAGGTTGGGGCATTGTTTCTCTTGGCAAACTCACTTTTGTTGGGAGAGAAGCTAGAGCGCCAAGGAGGAGACAGAGGAAGGGTTAATTAGGAGACCAGTTGCCTGGGGTCATTTAATGCAAAGGAAGAGAACTCATCTTTCAGTATCTGAGAGCATCACTGGGGTACAGAGAGAGGAATGCCAATTAATAGACACTCTTGGTGCTCTAGAATTAATATTAGGAGATTTAAAGATGAGGCATTGGAAACTTATCAAAAGTAACACTGGGGATGAGAAGACAAGAATACCACTATTATCCCTCTCATATTGTGGAATGCCCAACTTCTCTTGGGTTTCTTGGCTTGCCGGATACCAGACACGTGATCTCTTTCTCAGTATAGACTGAATGAGGGTGCCAGGGTCAATCCACACTCAAACTACTCGTAAAGCTTCAAACAGATTTTCGCTAAGATAGCTATAAATATAAGTTCTAATTTTTTTCCGCTCCCTAATGGATCATCTTATGCAACCCTTCCACTTTGAAGACCACTGAGCTAGGAAATTTACTTACCCAGCAGCTCTTTTCACAGTGGTAGAGACATGAGGGTTGGCTCTCACAACAATCCCCACCTTGCATTTGTTTCATGCTCTTTTAAATCCAAATTGGCACTTTCACACCCGCTGCAAAATGGAGCGATAAAACATCTGTGTTCTTAGTCTTTCCCTTTTCTTTTGATTGATGTGAATTTAACTCAGGATTTTGCTTTAGCATTACCTGTGTGATATATCCCATGACAGTGCCTTCCTCTATGACCTCACTCGCCCTCTTAGAGGAAAGGGTCTAGAATGTGACTATGTTTATACACAGACTTCTTTTCTTTCCCCTGTTGCATTAATTAGGAATCAGTTTGTTGCAAGTGAATGAAATCATATTAAATCTGGCTTCAGCAGAAAGAGAAGTTGTTAGCCACCATAACCAAAAGTTATGGCTAGAGAGTCAGGTGCCCAAATGATGTGACCAAGATTTGATCTCTCTTTTGCTGCATTTCTTGGCTTGGTTCTGAGAAGCAGTGGGCTTATTTCATCCTTAGTGTCAGCAGTTCCAGAAGAAAGAGGACTTTTTGTTCTCTCTTCCAGTTCCGACAGAAGTTCAGGAACTGAGTTTTGTTGGATTACTCTGGGTGTCCATCCTGAACCATTTGCTATGATTAGGGAAATGCCATGCTTGGATTATCCAGGTCTTGGTCACATGCCCACACCTGGCACTGGATTGAAGCACTGCTCAATCCACAATGAATGAGAGCCAGGAGGAAGGGGTTGCTGCCTAAAGAAGAGGGAGTGGGCAGGCACGAGCTACGCATGTGTTCCACTTTGAGTGAGGACTTTCTTTGACAGAGGCTTAACCACAAGCTTGGAATGATACAGTCCTTTGCCTGAATTACAGCTTTCATTTTGCTATGTAATTGTGACGCTAACTATCTGGAGGTAGTTCAAAACTTACAGATTAAGGGTACACAAGAATGTTCTCAATTAAGAGATCATTCATAGAGGTCCCAGGCTGCCTACACTTCTGACCAACTGGCTGCAATTTGGGGGCTCCCATTAGCCGCTCTGGTCCATTAATTCACCACTGATTCCACAGAAATACAAACTATCAACAGAGATGACTACAAACACCTCTATGCACATAAACCAGCAAATCTAGAAGAAATGGATAAATTCTTGGACACTTACACCCTCCCAAGACTAAACCAGGAAGAAGTTGAATCCCTGAATAGACCAATAACAAGTGCTGAAGTTGAGGCAGCAATCAATGGCCTATCAATCAAAAAAAGTCCAGGACCAGACAGGTTCACAGCCAAATTCTACCAAACACACAAAGAGGAGCTGGTACCATTCCTTCTGAAACTATTCCAAACAATACAAAAAGAGGGAATCCTCCATAACTCATTTTACGAGACCAACAACCTGATGCCAAAACCTGGTAGGGACTCAACAAGAAAAGAAAACTTCAGGCCAATCCCCACGATGAACATAGATGCAAAAATCTTCAATAAAATACTGGCAAACCGACTGCAACAGTACATCAAAAAGCTTATCCACCATGATCAAGTAGGATTTATCCCGGGATACAAGGCTGGTTCAACATACGCAAGTCCATAAAACGTAATCCACCACATAAATAGAATCAAAGACAAAACCACATGATTATCTCAATAGATGCAGAGAAGGCCTTTGACAAAATTCAACAGCCCTTTATACTAAAAACTCTTAATAAACTAGGCATTGATGGAACATATCTCAAAATAATAAACGCTATTTATGACAAACCCACTACCAATATCATACTGAATGGGCAAAAACTGGAAGCATTCTCTTTGAAAACTGGCACAAGACAAGGGTGCCCTCTCTCACCACTCCTATTCAACATAGTATTGGAAGTTCTGGCCAGAGCAATCAGGCAAGGAACAGAAATAAAGGGTATTCAATTAGGAAAAGAAGAAGTCAAACTGTCTCTATTTGCAGACGACGACATGATTGTATATTTAGAAGAACCCATTGTCCCAGCCCAAAATCTCCTGAAGATGATAAGCAACTTCAGCAAAGTCTCAGAATTCACTATCCTGCATATCATATTTTGCTGAGTTCTTATCTGTGTATAAGACAGAACAACCCACAGGACTCAACACAGTATGATATATATGATTATAATATTATTATAAAGGATATAAATCAAGATGATCCAAATTAAGAGTAACACAGAGTGGGGCCTGGTGCGGTGGCTCAAGCCTATAATCCCAGCACTTTGGGAGGCCGAGGCGGGTGGATCACGAGGTCAAGAGATCGAGACCATCCTGGTCAACATGGTGAAACCCCGTCTCTACTAAAAATACAAAAAATAGCTGGGTATGGTGGCGTGTGCCTGTAGTCCCAGCTACTCGGGAGGCTGAGGTAGGAGAATTGCTTGAACCCGGGAGGTGGAGGTGAGCCGAAATCGCACCATTGCACTCCAGCCTGGGTAACAAAGAGCGAAACTCCACCTCAAAAAAACCAAAAAAACCAAAAAACGAGTAACGCAGAGTGAGTCTGGGTGAGTCCAAAATATGGCGCTTCCATGTCTTCAGAATATCGATATATGATTATCAAATAGGGAAGCTCACTGGAGTTTCAGATGTTCAGAGTTTTGATTAGGGCTTCATCATGTAGATACGCTCGGTTGACTCAATGGCTGTGTGATTGAACTCCACTCCCAACCATCCTTCTGTCCTCAGAGCACAGGAGGATGAAAGGATATAACACGATTAAGAACCCCAACTCGCTAATAACATTGTTGGTCTTTCTGGCATATTCAGCTTCCAGCATAAAACTATCTAGAGACCCACTGTGGATCACCTCATTAGCATAAACTCAGGGGTGTCTGAGGGGCCCACCATGAATAACAAAGAAATTCTTCTCACTCAGGAACTTCTAAGGGTTTAGAGGCTCCCTCCTGGAAATGGGGGATAAAGACCAAGCCAATTCTTTAAGACACACCAGTCCTCGGTGCTGGATCCCAACTTCTCACTAATCGCTAATATTCCCTGTCTGCTCTGCTGCCACCACTTCTGGACCCAACGCCAACTCCAGCCGAGGCTTTCAACCTCTTCCTCTCTCAGCCTGTCAGAGAGAGGACGTCTCTTGTGGGGTCTCCTCCTGAACCCGACTGTCCCCTATTCCCAGCCCTTCTTTCCTTTCTTTTCCTCCCAAAGCTGGTGACTTTGGAAGAGTTTCTTCATTGGTAAAATGTAGGATATGGATTGGTTTCAACTCATCTGTTACTTCTTCCAGGAAGCCTTCTCCAGAGGACATTTTTTTTTTTTTTTTTTTTTTTTTTTTTTTTTTTTTTTTGTGACTAGCATCTGAGTCCTTTTCCTTTTCTTGGCAAACTTTCAGTCTATGAGATTAGTATTTCTCCTATTATAAAAGTCAAAATATCCAGATATTTGCTTTCTCAGCCTTTTTTTTTAGGTGAGGATGTGATCATGTGACTTAAGCTGTGCAATTAGA